ACCATAAAGAGTAGCATGAGAGCATCCTGTTAAAGGTAAGAGGGCACTACAGGGTGAGAGTGGAATAAAATTATATTATTGGGAATCATTAGGAGAACAAAGTTTCCTACAATTAACTTCTATACAATATTACTAAGAATATTCAGCCATAATTATAGAGGATATACATTTGAAAAATCAGATTACTGCAATTAAAAGCATAATAAAATAACTTATGGCTCCATTTGAATGCAATGTTCTGCTCAGTGCCCATTGTTGGTGCAAGATTGGTTAATTAAAAACAGAAGTGGCCTTTATGGGCACAGGCTTTATTTTAAAATAATGGGTTTAATTCAGCAGAGGGATTTATTTTACCCTGGCCTCTGACATGACAAAACTGCAGATACTTCATGCTGCTTTGCCTTATTTTAAAATCCCTTCCTATAGTTATGGCCAATAAGAAAAGTGGGCAACTATGGAAATGAACATAATCTTATTTTTTAAGGTGCAAAATTGCATATGTGACAGGCTTGGGTGTACACAGTCTGTGGGACGTGATTTAAGCATGTTAACTGAAGATGTGTACCACTAGCATGTAGTCTGTAAATGATATTGAGAGATCCGGCCACAGTGTTGTCAGTGCTGTTCATTCCTTACTCTGCACAGCATGCTCGTCTCCTGCCCCACCTTTAACAGTGACAAAATGATGATTATTTCTAACCTCAAGTGGCAGACACAAAGATGAGAAAACTATGAATGTGCTTACGTTTTATGGTATTTGGATTAAAATCAGCACCTAATGTATTCAGGTGATGTTAGAATTTTAACAATCTTCTTCTTTAGTAGGGGTAACAATTATTTAAAGAAGACATTCGATTCCTGAAATTTCTTGGCAACTAAAAGTAACGACTGTCATAAGGTTGACTTTGAGATACAATTATCTTCCCCTACGTACATTGTTTACTTTTTATATAATCAGTGCTGATCCAGAGGTTGGCAATTCTGTCCACTCAGGGGTGCCTTGAAAGAAAGACTTGGTGATCTACTGCCCACAAATCAGTCATTGAAGACCTTAGGGAATAAAGTTGTACTTGTCATTCATCATGTCTCCATGAGACAGATGTAACTCAAGAGCAAAGATTTTTTTTCAGAGTTTAAATAAAGTAGCCAACAAGTGATCCAAAAAGCAAATTTAAAAATATATATTTAAAAGAAAAGTCTAATACTGTTCAATAGGCCGAGCTGAGACACACACACACACACACACACACACACACACACACACACACACACACACACGGTAAGGGGAGTATTATTTGCAAGCTACTTTTATTTTGTCGTTGTGTGAAGTCCTTTATATCAAACATCCAGAAAGAGGAGAGCATGTAGAAGGTACATGCACTCCTTAAAGATTTAGGCTCACCAGTGACACGATTTTTAACCACATTTCATATTCTGATCTCATGTAGAAATAGTCACACCATCATCCCTACACAGAAAGGCTAAGGAAGGAAGTAACTGGCTGGATAGGGTCGTTTTAGACTTAACCTTGTATTCCACAGAAAGGGAAGCTTTGGTGTTGATAGAACCACCACTATCACAGCCAGTGTTTGCTTGATAGGAAGACCTCTAGTATTAGTTCTCTCAAAGCGTCAGCACTAAGTCCCTTTCCACCAATACCTGATAGCTGGCTTTAAAATATCATCACTGTTTTAAACAGATTAAGTAATTTTAAAATATTATGAACATGTTATCAAAGTTCTAATTATTATATATAATGTATAAAGGTTCCAATCTCTATGCACCTTTGAACCTTACCTGTAATAAGGCGATATCTTTGTTTTGATTTACTAGTGATGGCTGGTTATCACCAACATCTCTTCTTACGTTGTTTGAACATCTTTGGTGAACTGTCTATTCATGTCCTTTGCCAACATTTTAGTCAGATGATTCATCTTTTCCTTGTTGAAATGCTATAGTTTTTCTATAGATTTTTGAGATTAGTTCTCTGTCTGTTTTGTTGCTGCTAAAACTTTTTGCCCCCATTCTTTAAGCTCTCATTTTACTTTTTTTGAGGGCTTTTTGTGTGTGTGATGGACATAAGTGCCTTATTTTGTGAGTATGTTTCGCTCACCTATTTTGCCTTCTATGGTGAGTGTTTGTTCCCTTGCTGTGTTTAATAGTAGGTCCATGCCCAGCATTAGGGCCCTTAAGTTTATCCCTATCTTCACATTAGCGATCTTTATAGCTCCGGGGTGTACATTTAGGTGTTAGATGCATGTTGAGTTCATTTTTATATATGGAGGTGAGGTATGGGTTCTGATTCATTCTTCTGAGGAAAGATCCACTTCTTCCAGAACCATTTGTTGAAGAGACATCTCTTCCCCACGTAATGTTCTTTGACTCTGCTGAAGATCAGTAGGTGGATGGATTTATTTATGGGTCCTCTGTTCTTTTACATTGGTCTATAGATCTATCATTGTACCAGCACCAGGCTGTGTTAACTACGGGGACTGGGTAATGAATTTTTGAGCCACAAACTTCTTTTTGGAAATAGGATTGCTATCTATTTTCTTATGCAATACCTTTCTTATAAGTAGATTAATTTTTAATCTTGAAAATCTATGCATATACCCATCTTTACTGTGATATACGTTCTTTAGTCTGATTTCTCAAGTATTACTGATCCCTGGTGGCACTGTGGTTGCACGTTGGGCTGAAAACTTCAAGATAAGTAGTTCAAACCACTACCTGCTCTGTGCAAGAAACCCTTGGCTTCCTACTCCGAAACCCACATGGTCATTCTACCCTGTGCTAAAGGGTCTTGATGAGTCGGCATTGACTCAATGGCAGGGAGGCTGGGTTGGGGTGAAAACAGCGTATGCCGAACTCATTAGCCATGTTTCTTTTATTTTCATCGCTTACTCATGTATTTTGAGTGTCCTTATTCAGCATGTACATTTACCCATGTGCTCAGATCCTGAGTGCATGTACTCCGTAAAAGGTTGACATTACAATAGGATGGAAAATAGACACAAGATTTAATCTTAGGAAACTTGCAGTTAGGTGAGGAGGCACTCAAGATTTATTTTATAAAAAACAAAGTTACAACCATGGTGAGTGGTGGTTAGTGTGTGGTGTGTGAAAATTTTTCTTGTGGAACAGAGGGTTTTGTTGAGATCTCTACAAAGAGGAAAGATTATGCAAAAAGGATTGTGGTAGGAAGGAGCATGTTTCGCACAGTTGAATAAGTCTGAAGAACCTCTGTTAAAATAATTTTGTTCGCTATTCTAATAAAAGTATGAAGGCAGTTAGTAGTGGGAGAATGTGCTCTAGAATGCATTTTGAAAGGATCATTGAGGTTGAAGTGTGGAGAAATATTTGGAAGAATATTGAGGGAGGCTAAAACAGCTGGAGGGTCCCCATCAGTAAGATTTGTTAAGACTTCAATTTTGAAAAACAGGAGAGGAAAATATCTAAGATGAAATTGAAGTTGTGATGTAACCTAATATAATGGGTTTTGGTGCCATTTACTGAAATATGAAAGTCTGAAGTGGGATTTGTTTGGTATAGAGAAGCACACTTGGATTGGGACAGCTGACGATGTTAGCCCAGGAGATGGGCTATTCTGGAACTCTAGTGCAATTTAGTCTAAAGTACCAGCCAGTGTCTCTGAATGATTCCAAAGACTTTAAAATGCAAACTTTAAAGAGATTTCAGTGTTCTTTGCTATTGTTTCACGTATTGCCGAAAAACAATATCCAACGGTTTGAAATACAGTGAATGCATTGTGTGATTCCTTTAATCATATTGAATTGCTCTAAAGCGTAATCTGGGGAGCGCTGGTGGCCTGGTAATCACTAACAGCCCTGAGGTCTGCGAGGCCCCCAGCTGGAACCCCCAGCCACCAGGCGGGAGAAAAATGCCGCTTTCCACTCCCATAAAAATCACAGCCTGGGACTTTCACAGGGACACTTTCGCCCTGTGCTGTGGGACTCCTATGATTTGGCATCAACTCGAGGGGAGACTTTTTGGTTTTTGGTTTAATGAATAAGTGGGCTTATTTTTTATCAAATTTCCCCCATATTTTAATCTACATTTTAGGGTTTGGTCACACAATGTACCTATTTCTATGTTTTTCCAAGTAGAGTATATTACTCAGATGGGCGCCATTTGAATGACCTCTACAATAAATGATGCACATAAGTGTATGACTAGTTGAAAATGATAACTGGGGGAAATTAAAACAATCGTGGTGTTTTTGCAGTGTGTAATCAGTTTTTAACCTCAGAAATGATATAATTTTATGGAGTATTAAAGGGCACTCACTCTTTTCATTATGCTCTATGCAAACCGTATCAGAGGTGGTTGTTGGCATGTTAGCGACTTTATAAAAATCTAAATAAAATTTTTATTTTGATCTATAGTCTGAGTTACTGACTTGATTCTGCTTATTTATAATTCTGAATTTGTATTACTAAAATATTTTCAGGTTAAAAAAATAAATTCTTACATTTCATCAATTGAAACCAACTGCCATCCAATTGATTCTGATTCATGGTGAGCCCTTAAACAATTTTCAAATAACAAGCAAACTAGTAGAGAGTTTGAGATTTAGCTTACCTGCTATATTTCTTTAAGTGATGACCTATTATAAAAATTTATATGCTAAAGGTTGGCGATTCAAACCTACCCAGAAGACCCTCAACTTACTTCAGGAAGGCCACCACCCCAAACCCCTATGGAAAGGTTCTGTGTCCACATGGTGTTCTCAGGAGTTGCAGCCAGCATTATGGCAGTGTGTTATGTTTTATACGTTATGAACAGGGGCCTAAAGATGAAGTTAAGTACTGCTGGATAGAACTCAATATCAGCTAAAAGGAAACTGAAGCCTTATTAGGATTTCTAATTTTAAGCTTGATTTTTAAAATTTCAGCATCATATAAAATTTTGAAAATTTATTTTTTAAATGAGTGTGTTTTTCATATTTTTATACTAAAATGTTATATTTCTTTTCACAGGTCTCATATTTTTTGGGTGAACAGAAGTCTACCTTTATGGGGCTTACAGGTTATGTAAAATTTTGTTTCGTACTATACTTTTTTGTTTATTGATACTTCACAAGTAAATATTGTTAAAGTGAAATCTATTGATATTTAAGATAATTTCATCTTACTGTTGAATTTATCTTGAGCATATTTTGACAAAAATTTAATGTTTTTCTATTTTTGACTCAGCTCTCCACTCTATTGATATTTTCCTAATGCTGTTATTGATGATTTAGAGAGTGTGGATAAAACCAAGTAAGCCATTACCTCCAGGCTCAATAAACTCCCCAAATGCCTTTTGCTATTTCACACTCACCACACACACACACACACACACACACACACACACACACACAAAGAACAACAACAAAACACAAACTTCAAAACCAAAATAACCCAGTGCCAGTGAGTCTACTTCAACTCATGTTCTTGTTGTCGTTGTTAGGTGCCACCCTGTCAGTTTTGACATAGAGCAACCAACCCTTCGTCCAACAGAACAAAAAACCACCTGTCCTGTGCCATGATCACAGCTGTTGTTTTGTTGGATCCCATTGTTGGAGCCACTGTGTCAATCCATCTTGTCCAGGATCTTCCTTTGTCTCACTGCCCCAGTCATTTACCAAGCATGCTGCTCAGGGACTGGTCTCTCCTGATAGCATGTTCAAAGTATGTGAGACAAAGTGTCATCATCCTTGATTCTAAGGAGCATTCTAGCTGTCTTTCAAGACCCAAAACTTTCTTTCTTTGACAGTCCATGGTACTTTCAACATTCTTCACAAGTATTGTAATTTAAACGCATCACTTATTTTCTATTCTTCTTTATTCAATGTCCAATTTTCACATGTGTATGCAGCCAGTCAAACTTCCATGGCTTGGGTCAGATGCATCTTAATCTGAAAAGTAACATCCTTGCTCTTCTCACTTGAAAGGTGTTTTGTGCTGCAGACTCACTCAATGCACTGCATTGTTTGATCTCTGGACTGCTGCTTTAATGAGCATTGATTGTGGATCCATGCAAGACAAATCCTTGACAACTTCAAACTTTTCTGTTTATCATGATGTGACCTATTGGTCCAGCGTGGTAATTATGGTCTTCTTTACATTGAGTTACAATTAATACTAAAGACTAAAATCCTTTTGTCTTCATCAGCAAGTGATTCAAGTCATCCTCACTTTGAAATAGCAAAGTTGTGTCATCTGCATCTCGCAGTGTGTTAATAATAATAAGTCTTCCTCCAAACCTGATGGCACATTTTTCTTCATATAACTCAGCTTCTCTGAGGATTTGCTTAGTGTACAGATTGAATAAACATGGTGATGGGATATATCCCTGTTGGACACCTTCCTTAATTTTAAACTGTGAAGCATTCATCCCCGTGTTATGTTCTCACAACTTCCTCTTGAACAATGTACAGCTTTCCTCAAAGATTTCCACTCGTAGCTCTGTATGGGTTTTCTGATACTATTAATCTTTTCCATCTTAGGATATCTAACCAGTTCACATCATTTCAAGTGGTTTTCCATGAACACTGGTGCAGATGGGTCCCGAGAGCCTGTGCTCTCGCGTGTATATGGTCAGGTTCTTCAGCTAGTCGATAATCAAATTCCTCAACCAGCACAGGCTGAAAGCCTTTGTTAGTTTCATAGTAAGCCTTGACTTTGAGGGCTGTCACAGTTCCCTGGATTCTCTGACCCTCCCATTCTCCAAAATCCATTGTTAGCACTAACCATAATTATTAATTTGGAATTAGCAAAACTAAATCCTGAAATTGCCTTGACTATACCAGGTTCACGTGTAAAATGAAATAAAGTATAGAAATAATTCTCTGCCTGTACCAATTGCTAAGGCCCTACCATTAAGACAACCAAACCAAGTACCATACTTGCTATTGAAAAAAAAGTAGGTGGTTAAGGGGTTCTGAAAATCCCTGGTAAACATATCCCCAAAGGTGATGAATACAGGTATTTAGGGAGAGTAAGGTAAAATCCACCTTGCACAATAGGCTAGGATTTCTCCCCAGAATGAGATAGTTCTGTCAATTAAAGGACAAATTATAACATGGGTGGAGCGTCTTGCTCTGAACCCTGTCTAGTCTATGTAAAATGGTAAAATGGGCTAAGTAGAGAGATGGTGGCAAGTAAAATACCAATGAAATAGACACGTGGTCAATCCCAGTGCCCAGGGCCCGGCAGCCGGCTCCTTTCATGCAGGCAGATGGTCCTTCTGAAATCCAGAGCTTCCCGGCACACTATATGAGCCCCCTGTAGACTTCCTCACCCAGCCCTTTCTTGAGAGTTTGGATTTGGGTTTTCAAAATATCCAGAGGCACCACTGCAATAGCAGCTTCAGAAACTGCGACACGGTCTGACACAAAGAAATGGCAAAGGAAGCTTTCCCAGAAAGCTCCTGAACCCAAGGCTGTGAAAGCTGGCAAAGAGCGGGAAGTAGATGAGGAAGGGAATCTCTCCGAGGAGAGTGGCGCCAGCCCCTTGTAGAGGCCATCCAGCCCTGAGTGCAAAGCTGCTTCCAGGCAATAAGGGTGATGATGTGCACCTGTGATGTAGGGTCCGGAGGAGGAAGACGCTGAGGCTGGACCCTGATGGTGGCCTGCAGCTGAATCTGGAACATTTCCTGGAATGTGTCTCTACCAACTGGCACATCCCAGCTAGTCTCTCCATCTTATGGTTCTGCTGTCCCCATCCTCCATGAGCAAATGCCAGAAGAAGGTTTTGACGGCCAGCTTGTAGGCTTTCTTCAGGGTGACCAAAGTTACCTTCACTGCAGCCCCTTATGAGTACATGGCCAGGTGTCATTTCCATGCTACTTTTTGCAGTCCAGCCTTGGTCAAGTCGATGGGGAACACGCAGGTCACCCCCACGAGTCCTGCTACACTGCCGTTGAGGAGCTTGGCTAGGATATTGAGATCCTGGTCGAACACTCTGGAGGGACCAATAAAGGGCTAGGGTCCAGGCTGTTGGCAGCTCGCAGGCTGTGGCTGCCCCTGTTGTTCAACTGCTTACAGTAAGAACCTTCTGCCTTTTCCTGTCTCTAGGGTATGGGTCAGATACTTTGCACCTCAGGGAGGGACCTGGTGGCAATCCCTGGCAGCCTGTGTTGTCCCTTCTTGAGACTATATATCTTCATAGAAGCAAACAACCGCAGTCATCTTGTTTTTGAAGAGTGTCTGGTGGGTTCGAATCACTGACCTTGCAATGAGGGACCCAATGTTTATCCCACTGTGCACATTGTTGTTGTTGTTAGATGCCATAGAGTTGGGTCCAACACATAGTGACCCTATGTAGAACCGAAGAAAACCCTCATTTTAGCTGATTCTCTATTTTAGTGCCACAAATATTACCCCTGAAAATGTAATCATAAGTCATTATTGGTACCAGAGGAGCGCACTCCCCAGCCCCCAAACTCTCTTGGTGACCTCCAGCACCAGGCAAGCCAAACCCCACCATATTGATCAACCAGGACCTTAGTAGGAGCCTTTCCCCTCCCCTATTTACCCCTTCGTAGCCTGAAATGTGCTTCCACCCACCTTCCACTCTGCCACCTTACCCACCTTGTCATTTTCAGCGCACATTGTATCCCACGTGACCAATGACGACACCATTCCTTCCATCCATGTCATAATCCTCACCTCACCTCACCACTCCCTCACTGATCGACACTGCATGTTCCTGGTGGTAGCCCATGCCCATCCCATCCTGCCAGCCTCCTATGCCCTGACTAGTGTACTCATTCATCCAGAGAAAGCACAGACTCCTGAACTACCAGATAGACTGCCACAGTATTGCCAACCTTTCCTGCCCACTACCCTTCCCTGCTTCTTCCCTTTCTGCTACCGATATCTTGTTTACCCAAGGATAAATGGTGTTTCTTAGTCATCTAGTGCTGCTCCAACAGTTATTCTCTGACAGTTAGCAGACAAGAAGTCTGATTTCAGGGTGCTGGCTCTCAGAGCAGGATTTCAGTTTTGGCTCTGTAGAATTTCCTTTTCATCACCCTTCTTATGAGTCTGGGGATTTCTCCGTTCAGGACCAAAGGTCACGCTCCACTCTCAGATCTTCTTTCTGGACAGTAATAAATCTCTCTCCCTCTGCTGGCTTCTCTCTCCTTCTAAGGAGCTGAGAAATGTAAGATAAAAAAATTATGCAGGGTCTATCCCAGGAAAACTTCCCTTATATTGTATCAAGGTACCCCAATCCCCCTACCTAAGATCACATCAGATCTGATCACATCATGATAGATGATTAAGTCATTATATACATGTCTTATTATATTATTATATAACTGCAAGACCATTGATAATTATGGCCCAGTCATGCTGCCACATATTTTGAGGGACAAACTCAATTCACAGGGATTGACAGTGAGTACTCTCATCTCACTAGAATGATGTCAGTAAACCATGCTCTGCCCACCCACTGTAAGATATCAGAACAAAACAAATAACAGGACAAAGTGAGTGGATATCGGATTAACATATAAATATGGGGGCGTGAGAAGGTTTATGGAAAGTAGAATTGAAAGATAATGAATAGTATTTCAAATATAATTTATTTGAATAGTATGAATAGTATTTGAATACTATAATAGAGTTCCTTGACATCCCTTAGTATAGAAATAAAATAATGCTTCAATTCCTTGAGAACAGCAACAATAACAAATCTTATGAACAGGATGTGTTTGTTCAAATAGGCAGGGGTAGGGGGGTTGGGGGGGGGGAGACAATGCTAATAGAAATACCTGAGAAGGAATTTGGAAGTTTTATATAAAAGCTCTTCAAAAAAATCAAGGAAAACACATATAAAACCCTCAAATAACTCAGGAAAACAATAAAAGAACAAAATCACTAATTCAGTAGGTAAATAGAAACTATACAATAGCAACTAGAAATGAAGATTTCAATAAAACATCAGAAACAGATGATCCAATGAAAGGATGCAGAAGCAGATAGAATGAGTGTAAGAAACGTGTCTTGGTAATGCTGTGGCTTAAGCTCTGGGCTGTTA